GCTAGGATTTCTGAGAGTGGGCATCCTTGTCTTGTCCCTGTTCTTAGAGGAAAAGCTTTTAATCTTTGTCGTCAAGTATGATGTTAGCTGTGGGTTTGTTAGCTGTGGGTTTATTATGTTGAATATGTTCTTCTATACCCAGTTTGTTGAACGTTTTTATCATGAAAGGATATTTTATTTTGTAAAATGCTCTTTCTTCATTTAATGAGATAATATGGTTTATCTTTCATCCTGTTAATGTGGTGTATCACATTTATTGATTCATGTGTATTGAACCATCCTTTCAACCCAGGGATAAATTTCATTTTTTTCATGATGTATGATAATTTTAATGTGTTGCTGTATTTGGTTTTCTAATATTTTGTTGAGAATTTTTACATCTGTATTCATAAGGGATAGTGGTCTATAGTTTTCTTGTATATCTTTATCTGGCTTTGATAGCAGGGTATTGCTGGCCTTATAAAATAAATTTGGGAGAGTTCCCTTCTCTTAGATTTTTGGGAAGAGTTGGAGAAGGATTGATGTTAATTATTTTTTAATGTGTGTTACAATTCACCAGTGAAGGGATTTTAGAATACTGATTTAATTTTCTAAGTGATTACTGATTAAGATTTTCTATTCATGATTCAGTCTTGGTAGGTTGTAGGTTTCTAGGAATTTATCCATTTCTTCTAGTTTATCCAATTTATTGACATGCAATTGTTCATAGTAATCTCTTATCCTATATATTTCTGTAGTATCAGTAATAATGTCTCATCTTTAATTTCTGATTTTGAGTCTTTTGTGTTTGTCTAGCCCAACTTTTGTAAATTTCATTTATCTATTTTAAAAAAGCACTTATTTTCATTGATCTTTTCTGTTGTTTTTCTGGTCTCTAATTTATTTCTGCTCTGAACTTTGTTATTTCCTTCCTTCTGCTAACTTTGGGCTTAGTTTGTTTTGTTTTGTTTTCTTTTTTAAAGATTTTATTTATTTATTGAGAGAGAGAGAGCGCACACATGAGAGGGGGGAGGGTCAGAGGGAGAAGCAGACTCCCTGCTGAGCAGGGAGCCCGATGAAGGACTCCATCCAAGGACTCCAGGATCATGACCTGAGCCGAAGGCAGTCGCTTAACCAACTGAGCCACCCAGGCGTCCCGGCTTAGTTTGTTTTCTTTCTAGTTCTTGAGGTTAGATTGTTTACTTGAGATCTTTCTATTAATATATGCACTCATCACTATAAATGTCTCCCTAAGAACTGCTGTTGCAGTATCCCATAGGTTTGGCTGTGTTGCATTTCTATTTTCATTGTTTTGAGATTTTTTTAAATTTCCCCTTTGATTTCTTCCTTGGCACACTGACTCTCCAGGAGTGTGTTGTTTAGTTCCCATGTGACCGTAAAATGTCCAGCTTTTTCTTATTGATTTTTAGTTTTGTCCCATTGTGGTCAGGAAAGATGTGATTTCAGTCTTCTTAAATTTGTTAAGACTTATTTTGTGGCCTATCCTATGATCTATCCTGGAGAATGTTCACTGTGCACTTGAGAAGAATGTGTATTCTGCTGCTGTTGGCTAGAATGTTCTGTAAATGTCTGTTAGATCTGTTTGGTCTAATGTATGATTGAAGTCCAAGGCTTCCTTGCTAATTTTCTGCCTGGATGATCTGTCCATTAGTGAAAGTGGAATGTTGAAGTTCCTATTATTATTGTTGTCTGTTTCTCTCTTCAGATTGGTTATTTTTTTTTTTAAGATTTTATTTATTTATTTGAGAGAGAATGAGATAGAGAGAGAGAGAGCATGAGAGGGGGGAGGGTCAGAGGGAGAAGCAGACTCCCTGCTGAGCAAGGAGCCCGATGCGGGACTCGATCCTGGGACTCCAGGATCATGACCTGAGCCAAAGGCAGTCGCTTAACGACTGAGCCACCCAGGCACCCTTCAGATTGGTTATTATGTGCTTAATATATGTAGCTGCTCTGATGTTGGGTGCATATATATTTATGATATACTTTCTTGATGGATTGACCCCTTTATTATATAATGACCTTTTTGTCTCTTCGTACTATTTTTGGTGTCATCCATTTTGTCCGATGGAAGTATAGCTACTACCCCCACTTTCTTTTGTGTACCATATTTTGTTTCTTCATTTAAACCAGTGGTGTGCATTGGGTTCTTTCCATTTTTTCTGTCTATTGTGAATAATGCTGCTGTGAACATTCATGTAACAAATTATCTGCTGAAGTAGTGAGGATTTCATTCTTTATTACAAATCTGTCCATTAAGCAGTGAGAAAGTTGCTTCATTGGAAAACCCCAACTCAGGATCTTGAATGGGGGGAAAAGTCTTCTAGGCATATTTTCTAAGAAACTGAAAATCTGCTTTGTTTTCTTGCATTAAGAAGTGATTTTAGATGTTCATACTATATTAGATCTTATCACCATCTAATATGATAGGTATTGCTTGTTTTAAGATCTGTTGAATGCATGGATGAATGGTGCTCAAATGTTACCCAGCTTTATGTTTTCCTAGATAGCATTTTAAAAGGTTCTATATTTAGATTCTTTTGAACATCTCAGTATTATTGGTTTTCCTGGGGTAGAGCATTCTAGTACAAAATGTCTGTGTGATAGACCTTATAAGTGGTTGGAAACAAGGTACGAAAAAGGATTATGTTGTATTGGGAAAGGAAAGAAGATAGAGATGGATTAGACAAATTATATACATGGAATTTTGTCTCCCTCTAATTTGACTGTAGGGTCCTCAAAGTGATAACATGCAGAACATCAGAGACACTTGAACATTGATAATCCAGACTTAGGAAGGAATAATAAAAAATAATTTAACCTTAACAGTGGAGGTTAAATGGTCCAGCTGTCATCAAAACACAGAAACAAACTAAATCATCCCTTTCTTAAATGAGAACACTCCATTGTTTTCCGCTCAATGCGACTATTTATTGATTTGTACTAGTCAGTCTAGGTACTGCTTTAGCAGAGTCTCAGCCTCTGTCTTTGAGATACAAATTAGAGTTTTTTAAAAAAGCAGGAACTTTGCAACATTACTGTAAAGTAGGGAACCTGGTCCTTTTTCTCTTGTTAAGCAAGGAAACTTGATTCTGAGAGGTAAGATAATGTCCGGAAGTATTTTTTAGCCTGTCTTTGTTGGAGTCATTTTCCTTGTCTTGGATTTTAGTAAGGATATAATCTCAGTTCCAGTTAGAAAAGGAGATCACAATGCCAGGTGTCAAATCCACATATCAATCCTCTCCTTAATTGCTGAAGTTTGACACGTCCCTATGTTTGTCTCAGAAAACTGAAAACGTTCTTTTATTAGCAATAGGGACTTAAATTTCCTATGTAGACAAATTAACTTCTAAATTATAAGAGAAACAAAAACACCACGAGAAGGTGGTGGGGGAGGGGGGGTCACTTCTTGCTTCAACTTAAAGCTTTCTTCAAGTAATTTCTCTTTCCCTTCTCCATATTTTCCACAGCTTGCTTGCTTTCCTTCCTTTCCTTGCCTTCCTTTCCTTTCTTTCTTTCTTCTCTTCTTTTTGTACATTGGAACTCACTATCTAGTTAGTACCTTCTCTGAAGAGTAAATTTTTAGTCAGAAACTCTTAAAAAAAAAAAATCTTAGAATCCTAATTAAAGTGGAAGAGGTCAACCAGACTGTTGAAATAAAGAGTGTTTTTAAGCCATGTAGCTATTATGTTTGGGCAATTCTTGAAACAGGAGGGTGGAAACTCTTCAGAAAGATTTAAACTTTTTAAGTATTTTTTAAAAATAAAATGAATTGGTTTAGAATAATAAAGACTAATAGAATAAGGAAGGAAAAGAAAAGAATGTATTTTGTGGATAAGCCAAATTCATGGCCTTGTGCACTGAATTTTATACTCTAAAACCTAGGGGCCTTACTCTTGTGATTGCAAACCCTGGTTTTTCAGCCCTCCCACCCCCACCCCCAGGCTTGTCTCCAGTTATCTTAGAAGTGACAAAATAATCTCTAAGTAAGTTTAATTTTGATTAAAAAATACAGCCACATATCCATCTCTTTTTTTTTATGGAAAAGGGGATGAGGCAGAGAAGACCAAATTGTGAAGAAAGGTAAAGATTATTACAGCCCTCTAGGTCTTGAGCTGACAAGTGAAAACACCTTGCACGTAATGCAGAGGAAAAACTGTCCATTTGACCTCATTTTCATTCACACTGCTCCTAACACCCGGGAAGGACCAGATGTCTGGTTTCTAGAGTATTGGGCTTTTCCCTAGTAAAATTTATTTTATGAAGTTTGGAGAAAAACTGCAGCTCCTTCTGACCTCAGTATTTTATAGTTTAATAATTTCATATACTAAAAGTGTTCCAGCATAAAATGAGCTTTGAGTATTTATGCATTTGCAGTAATCCAAGAAAGGCTGTGCAAAGAATATCTTGAAATGACCTTTACTTTGAAAATCTTGTTATTATAAAAACCCCAAAAAACAAATTCATAGTTTTCATGAATAAGAGGTACAATGTAGCATATGGTAAAGGCACTGAATTGGTGGGGTGGGGTGGGGGACGGGCGGGTAGTATGAGTAGATGACCTTTCTTTTTCCTTGTCTGATTCCTACTAAGAGCAATACAAAATATACATTAGATATGATACTTCTTTCCTCCTTACAGAAAACAATAGTTGGAAATTCCTATGTAAAGCTAATTTGCCATGAGGAATATAAAGCCCTTTAATGGGGTATCTAGGTCCCTATGGAAATTTTTTTTTTAAACATACACCATGTGGTGCAATCTGTTACAGTCTACAAGGAGGGAAGGGGGGGAAGCTCTGGGGGGGCCAGGAATAAAGTCATCTGTGGGAGTTTTTGAGGTATTCACTAGTAATGGGGGAAATGGTACAGCTAAAGCCTAGAAGTGACATCGCTTCTGCCCTAAGTTGTAACCCAGAGTATATTAAATGTATGTTCTTTTTAGAAACTATTTAGCAAGTTAGTCAAGTTAGGGGAGAAAAAAAACAACCTTTTCTGAGATGGTTAAATTGCTATTCATTTTGTATTTTAATCTAATCTACTGGTGATTTAATTTACAGAACTCAAAGGAAATGTACACTCAAATATTTGAGGATGTTAATGTATCAACCACTGTTTAATTTTGGAATGTGCCTACTTGCTTGACACAATATTTTACCATCTCAACAAATGTTTAGCCTTTTTTTCACTCGACTAAAGAGAAATAAGTTTCACATCGCTTCATTCACCTTCTTATGTGCATATGCTGGGAAAGATTGGATGTTAAAAAAAAAAAACTTCCTCATGTTCCTTTCTACTACATCTAAATCTGTTTACCAATTCAAAGCTGCTAAAAAGCCCTGTATTCTCCTGCTAAATCAACTGGATGGCTAGAAACCAAACTGTGATGTAACGGGAAAAAAAAATTATCAATTTATTTTCATGTCAGAACATTCTTGAGAAGGTATAAATTGTTCTGGTCTCTATGCCAGTTTTCTTTTTTCTTCCTTTCTGTCTTCCTTGTTTTTTTTTTTTTTTTTAAGCCTTTCAGCTTTTAAGCCGGTACTTTTTATAGTTATATAACAGTTCTAATATTTTGTGACATTTTGTATTGTGACACTATAGATGAAATTGTCATCGGACTGACACTCTGTGCTGTTTATTCCTTAATTACAACTGTTAACACTGTAGAGAAGTGTGCTAATCTGCCAGCGCATATTATGAAAACAACGTTATTGTTACCCACACCAACACCCACTCAACAGGATATTTCCAAGATGGTGGTTTAAACGAACTTATCAGCACAATGGACGTTTCAATATAGTTGTTTTTTTTTTTTTTTTTTTAAAGCTTGTCCTGCTGTCTTCATGTAAAAATACACACCAGTTTGAAATTTTTAAACTCTTGAATTGTAATGAACATAGACTCCCCTTACTAGCAGGAGCTGCCTCTATAATCAAAAAAATTAAAAAAAAAACAACCTTTTTGAGTGCTCCAGCGGTGGAGGACTGAGGAACTGCAAAGCTTTCTGACAGTTGTTTCAGAAATAATGAAAACAGGAGAGGGAAGGGCAAGTTTCAAGATGAAAAGATGAGAGGAGTTACTTGCATTCATAGGCTGGTAGTCCTTAAATAACCAAGTCAAAATCCAATAACCATTCCCAGCTCTAATAGGTGACCTTTTTCAGGACTAAGTCTGAGCCCCCCTGAAACTGGCTACTTCTCGAGTGCTTTGTAGTTTAGTTCTTTCCTCCAGAACCTTCAGAGGTTTGATTATCTATGAGGGACAAAATCCCATGAATCCATTGTCTAATAAATACTATACTGAAGCAGGTAAATACCTCTATTTTTTCCATTTGTTAAAAGGGCCAACAGCTACTGGGATCCTGTGCTAAACCCGATCCCCATAAAGAAATAACCAAAACAATTCTAGAAAATGTAAAATCAGAACAACCAGTATTCACTGTTTAGATGAGAATGACAATAAATGATTTTTTTTAAAAAAATGACACACAACACTTATTTAGTGACTTACTTAATAAACAGTCCACTTTTCAATATTAGCTCTTAACACTTCCATGGGATTAGCAGAAAGCAAATTCGTGACCCTGAAGTAATAGTAGGTCTCAAAGTGATAGAACCTGAGACTTGTCAGCCGATTCTCCTATCTTCATGTCATTGAGGAGGTAATGGGACAATATGAACATATTCGATTCCTAAGGTACCCGAAATGACCCGTATATTCTTTAATATTCAGCTGTACTAAACAGATTTTTTTGAAAAGAGTATGTGAAGAAGTTATCACTGCGCCTCATTCTGAACGGTATTTTCTGCTTCATTTTCATTTTCAACACCGATAGGATATGGTGCTCTTCCTAAAAGAAACTGTTCCCATTTGGGAATATATTCTTCTACTGATGCCCAGTAAAGAGTCTGGAAAAAAAACAACATCCAAAAGTAAAAAAGCATATCAAGCAATTGAACTTGGCTCTTCATAATAGTCTAAATGTTTATTCACTGAAGTGTGTGTGTGCCTCTACATACACATATACGTAGAATGTACTTCCTCTACAGAATATTTTATGTTAATTTTAGAAAGAAATCTGGCTACTTACTAGTGTTAATTTTCAAATTTCTCAGTAAAACCAGAGCCTGGCAGAATTACAGGTGATGGGATTTTATTGTGATTTTACACGCCCTCTTGTGGCCAACCGTGTGATTATTACCAGTGGTATCACTTATGGCTACAATCATTAAATGTTTTTGTTTACTCTTCCAAATTCCATACCAAATGATTACCCATACTAAAATTATTACAATGAAATGATTAGGCATGAGCAACTGCTTTTTAACTGACATAAAAAGATTTCACCTGGGATGAGATCAGGAAATGAAACATAACCAGTATGTTCTAGTACAGGACTCAGGTAAATTGACTCCTTAATTATATGGGGAAAAAACACTTAAAATATGCATCCAGTATATCTTTTAGAAGAGTACTCGATATGGTAAAATGTAATTTCTTCCCATTTTTTTTTTTTGGTATATGGAGAAAATAATACTAGTATCATGTAACCATTTTTAATTCCAGTAACTTGGAAGTTGAGACACTGTATTATTGGCCTGACTATGGCAAGTCTATAAGCTATAAAAGCTCAGGCAAGATCACCATGTAATATCTACAAGCTTTGATGTTTTTTTGGGTGACTGCCCTAAGGAGGCCTAAGAAAAGTAAACTGCCAAAAGCTCTGTATCCTAGGAGGGCATTTTAGATTGGATCATCACTATCAATCTCATTTTGGGGAATTCAGCCAAAGAATTACATGGCATTTAGAGCACGTAAGGATTCACTCTGCACGTTAACAAGGTACAGGAGTTCTGAAAGTTGAAATTGTGAGTTCTACATATCTGCCCATCTGTGCATGTGGTCCAAGAAACAGCCTGACACACTTAAAATAGAGGTCATCCTGCTGTGCAAGACTAGCTAAGAAAAATACCAACCAAGGCCTGTGGTTGGGAGTTTCTCCACCATTCACGGCTGGATTAACCCCTATTGTGTGGGCCCCGTATAGGCCAGAGTAAGGTATTGGAGAATTCAACGAAGAAAAAGACATGCCCAGGGCACAACTTTGTACCACAGTTCTTTCTATCCTTGATCACTGCCTTTCCTTATTACTCTAGATGACACAGAAAATGGAAGGGCAACTTCTCAGCCTTTAATTTTGAGTCTATTCAACATCCCTGCTTAGGCAGCAAGCAAAACTGTATTTGAAAAAGGTCATTAAGAATATAAAATTAAACTATTCTATATGTAGTAAATTTTCTTTCATCACAGATATATTCATATACCAAATAGGGTTTATTTTTGCCAACAGTCTTCCCAATCTGTTCTTGAACTGAGCAAAATAAAACAGACAAAAGCCACACTATGCTGCATGATAATATGCATTTAAATAGCTTTGGTTGAAATTTGGTGAAGGGACTGAACTGCTAACATTAGCCAACAGGAAAAGCACTTTGGTTAGGCATGCTGTCATCTTAAGATTTAGTGCATACTGTCTACTGTCTGTTACGGTTTAACAGGATATGTGTTTCTAGATGAAACGATATCGGATCTTTATAAAATTTTCGCTTGATAAATTTTTAAAAATCAAGATGCTTATCAATTACCTACTGTGTAAAAAGCACAGCACTGTGGACATGTAAGGATCAATCAGACACATCTTATTTTACCGAATAAATAAATCTGGGAAATACACATAACCACAATTAATTTATAATGTACTACTAACAGAATGGGGTCTCTTCCTATACATTTGTTCTTTAAGAGTCTCACCTCAAGAGAAACCACCTCTGGTGACGGGATTGGGTGAATCCGGGTCTGTAGAGACTTTGCTGCGGCTTCTATATCCTATAATAGGTATCAGTGTTTTAGAAACAAAATGTACTTACATAACACATACAAATGGCACCTGTAATAGCAATGTCTATATCCCGAATCTCAGCTTTTCTCTGGATATACAGTCTGAACTGAAGGAAGGGCATTGAAATAGGAGGACTGATCATTACTTAATCAGTTTCAATAGAGAAAGCAGCGTTTCTTGTTTTACAATAAAAAGTGGGGGTGGGGTGGGTAGGACTTTCAAGATCTTCCTTTTCATTTAAAATAGTAAATGCCAATAATTCTGGCAAAAAGGACCTTCTTCCAAAACTGCTCAGGACACTAACTTAGCTCTAAAACCAATAAGAACAGCCAGATAGATAAAACGGTCAAATATTCAGATACTAAAAACAGTCAGATAGTCAGCCCCACACTGACTAACCTTACAAGTGAAGAGTTCTAGTCCAGATCATGCAAATGGTGTATTAATGTCACACATTTCATCTGTTCAGTATTCTATTTTTTAATTTTATACTTACATAAATCCTCCACATATTCAAAAGAAAGTCCATGAGGTACCTCAGTACTTTGGAACAAGAACCTTTTCACTAGACTCTAGATTTTTAGGACTCAATTTCTGGGGCATTCTCGATGGCCAGCTTTATGGCTGGGTCGTGCATCATTCAGCTGATGACGTTTAAGCCCTGTGCTTTAATCTGCAGTGTGACTTGTGGGTGTATGCATGTTCTCTTACGGTTGTAGCTCATGCAGGGGTAATCACACTTCATGCTTACCCGGGTAAAGATGTAACCTTGATATGTGGATGAAGTACAGGCCCAGAAATGTAGGGCTCTCTAAGTTGTCAGTAAAACACTGGAGCTCTGTTTCATGCTCCCCAAACTGGCACCTATGTTGTCTAGTGCTTGTTTATGTTTGTCAAGTTCACAGAGGCCTTGGCTGGAGGCCGTGTAAATTTTGTCTCTCCCTTGAGCTCAGTGAGTTGATCAAAAAGAGAAAGTTCTCTGATCCATGTACAAGCATTGGAGCAATCTAAGTACAGGGCTGTTGGACAGACGGAGAGAGATGGAAAAGGACGTGGGAGTGGGGTGTGAAGAATCCAATGCTGAACAGGAGAAAAGAGCGAGCAGATGGCAGTGGCGGGAGCAAGGAACGGGTGTGAAATGTAAAAGGGAAAAACAGGAAATTCCCTAAAGGGACTCCCCAAAGTTGCACAACCATTAATGCACCTGCTGTCTTGAAGAAGGTGATTTGAAGGGGAAAACCGTCAATTTAGGGCTAAAAAGCCCGTCTATTAGCAACATCTCTTCCCGACCAGAAGTTTATGGCCAAGACGCACGCTAAAGAGCTTTTGATGCTGATGCTACAACAGAGAGCGAAGATTAACTCTTCTGTGATTGCACTGAGATTTTACAAGATCCTGGGAAAATTACTTTTGACTCTCATAAATCAAGCAAACAATAGACTCACAGCTCCACTGACCTCATTATAAGAACAGTTGTAAGTTTATTGTTGGTGGTAGATCTAGGTGCCACCAGCACCTGCAGACAAGATGATAAACACTTCTCTTACAGACCTGAAAATAAGGATATTGGCTATCTCTCCTAGAAGAGCAGATTTGCAGTGAAAGAGTAGGTATGAGCAGGGATCTGTGGCCTCTGGTTAGTAACTTGACAGTCCTCTCTACAGCCTGTCGGCAAGGGATTATCACCCCTCCAGAGAACTTCTTTCGTAAGTGAGATTTTACTTTCTTAGATGTTTTGCTTACCTCTCTGACTCCTACTTCTCTTTCTCTGTAGCTGGCTCCTTTTTCTCTTCTTAATCCTAAGTGTGGGCTTTCTAAGATTTGTGACATCTGTCCTCCTCTTTTTACTTTTTCTCTTTCCAAGACTGTCTCTTATCTAGTTTCAACTATTAATGTAGAGGGATAGATAACTTTTCTTCCCAGCCCTTATTTCTCAACCTAATAAAACTAAACTCCCCTTATTCCTACTGAGTGTTCTGAATGTACAATAGTGGGAGTTCTACTCCCCCAGACACGTATGCTGTATCTTCTACCTTCAATTATTCTTTTTCCCTGACATTTAAAAATTCCAAAGGTCCATAGATGATTCCTGCAGGATGTCTCCTCTAGCCTGTCCATGCCATTCTCAGTGCTGTGGTCTTATTATCTCACTCACTGGTTCAACAAATACGTACTTGGACTGTATCTCATTTTACTTTAACCACATACGGAATTGATTAGCTTTTCTAAAATTACTACTTTAAATATGTCTTTACATAGATTTAAAAAAAAAAGAGACCCACTACACAGAGGATAAAGTATGAATTCCTTAGCCTGACTGAAAAATCTCTGCCTTCTGTAGCGAGTTATATCCCATTACTTCCAATTAAGAACCTTCTGTTTGACTATATGCTGCCAGAAGGTACGGACTGTCTCATACAATCTTTAAGCATCCGAGAATCTAACAAAGTGCAGGGCATGTACTAAACACTTAAATATTCATTATATACATAAATGACTAAGGTGTCAAAAGTTTCCTGAGTATAAATGAAAAACTTAAAAAAAAAAAAAAATTACCCAAGGGGATGAGGGGAGAAAAGGAAAAAAAGCAAATGAAGAGAGGCTAGACTTACCTGACCAGACCTTGTTATCTTGTCTTATAGATCTGCCACTAGACCATTTACAAATTTATACAGTTACAGAACCAAAGGAAAAAGCAATCCCTAAAAATTAAAAACAAAAGGAAACAAATCTAACTGCCATCTAGTTGGTGGCATAACCACATCAAGAAAAAGTACATCAGGTGGTCTTAGAACACAGTATTTTGACTGAGCATCTGTAGTGAGATCTACCCCAAGGACAAAAAGAATTATAAAAAGTATCTGACTGAAAGCCATACTCCATAATCATATTGTTGCTGGTAGTGCTGTCTCTATGATGGGATAAAGTAAATGAGTAGTTATGTTAGTACTGGAAAATTATTTAGGAACTGAGATTTTTGGTTTGAGGGGGGAAAAAGTTAGAGGTAAAGTATTGATGATTTTAAGTTAAAAGTCTTACAATCATGTAATCAAAATGGAATTATTGATATGAGTTCTTGATGAATTTTATCTTTAAAAACAAGTTGTAATAAACATCCCTAGAACCCAGATTAAGGGCTCTAAACATATATTCCCATCAAAAGGATCCAGGGCTCCTTGGAGCAATGGCCAATTCTAGGTCTAAGCAGCAAGTGATGGCCTGGAAAATATCACAGCAGAAAGAAAAACTATCAAAGCATGTTAAGATCACGTCAAAGGCATTCAGGAGCTAACATGGAGGCTCCCACTTGGTAAAAATGGGACAATTTGAGCATCACTGGGAATGCAAATTGACGTGGGTCAAGACCTTTCAAATCACAGACGTATTTAAGAGCATCAACGTCTAATTGGTCACTTCTGGAGGATACTAGAGAACCAAACTATTTTTGAAAATTAAGTACAGAGAAAGAATCAAGCACTGATTATGCTTTTTCCTATATGAAGTGTAACCAAATAATTGATGAGGGGACATTTATCTTCTTATAAATTATCAGCAATTGAATGAGAAGGAATAGAAGAATTTGAATATCACTTTTTGCAACCCTTAATGAACATATCTAGGCCATGATCATCAGTGACTGCTAACATTCCAGAAAGACAACCAGGCATTACAAAGTGTTCTTTCCCAAAACATTGAACCTGAATCTGATCAGGGCTCTAGATCTGCACTGTTAATGTAATATCCATTAGGCTCAGTGGCTGCTGAGCACTTGAAATGTGGTAAGTCCGAATTGAGGAGCCCTGTAAATGTAAAGTACACACTGAATTTTGAAGGCTCAGTGAGGAAAAAAACATAAAATATTTACTAACTTTTAATAGCAGTTACATTTGAAATACGAAATTAATTTTAATACATTTCATTTAATCTGTGTCTTTTAACTTTATTAAAAGTGGTTACTAGGGGGGTGCCTGGCTGGCTCAGTTGGGAGGAGCATGGGATGCTTGATCTTGGGGTCATGAGTTCGAGCCCCACGTTGGGTGTAGAGATTACTTAAATAAAAACTTAAAAAGTTGTTACTAGAAACTTAAAATTACTTGCATTATGTTTCTGTTGCATAACACAACTTCTATCAATTTATGGGAATTACAGGGAACAAAGGAACTTACTAAGTGATGCCTCAGCAATGTAATTAGTAATATTCAGAGTGTGGGAAACTAGGAGAAATGAGCCAATTCCTTCAACAAATTAAAAGGGCGTTAAAAAAAAAAAAGGCAGAGGGAACTTTTAGAGATTTGAGAGACCCATCAATCAATTACGTACTAGACTTTATTTGGATCCGGATTCAAACAAATGTAAAAACAGGTTAATCAGGGAGATCTGAATCCTGACTGAAAATTTGAGGAATTACTGTTAATTTCTTAGATGGATCATGGTATTGCGATTGTACTTAAAATAGCCCTTATCTTTGGGTGATAAACACTGATGAAAAAGACGTGATATTTACAGATTAAACAATGTGATGTCTGAAGGTTAGCTTCAACATAATTTGACGGGCTGCAGGTGAAGGTGACGAGTGTAAATGAAACAAGATGGGCTGTGTTTTGAAAATTATTGAATCTGGGTGATAAGCACATGGAAGTACATTCTTCTATTCTTCCTTCCACATAGGTTTGAAATATTTTGTAACAATTAAAAAACAAGTTTCCAGGATGAATGGTGATATAAATGTTACTCTATGGCAGGATTCAGTAGCCTCTGTAAATGAGTTGACTCATGATTAGGAAAGGTAAACTATGAGCACAAAAAGTCATGTACTGAGATTTCTTTCTTTCCCCCTTCCTAGACATGTCCCTTCCTCCCAACCCAGCAATACATATCTTCCTGTAAATATATACAGTGAAGCCATCCATAGCTGGACTGGGTTTAATCTTTTAATCTGCTGAAGGGGCAATTTCTGGGAATGAAAAAAGAAGATCCTAAAGCATGAGATACAGGGTCATTGGCTCAAGGAACCCTTACGCATTCATTAAACTCGCTCTTCACTGAATTGGAGAAAGTGAGGAGTGTGAGGAGGAAAGAGGAGAGACTGGGTCCTGTAAGTCACTGGCCAGGGGGGTGTGGTGTGGGGGGTGCAGTTTGTTGAAGGCTGTTACTGTCAGCCTCTCCAAGAAGGCCTCCAGGACATGCCGTTATGTCTAATCTGCTGTGGCACACTCCCATTCTTTCTCACCCTGGAATGTTTGTCCAGCTTCCTCATGAAGTGATGCTCACTGCCACAAGATTGCCTTTTTGGGTTAAACTAAATTTTGCTGGTGGGGGGTGGGTGGGATGGGGAACGAGGTCAAACAGATGATAGTTTACCTCATGGAAGTATTTATAGAAACAAAATTCTCTTTCTCTTCCAAATCTGTACCAATCATGTTTGTTTTTAAAAGGCAGACACATTTTATTTTATGAATGTAATAGGGAAACTAGCAGAAACTAACAATCCATTATCATCTGTGATATTTACTGACTAAACCCTCAGTTTGAGTTTTCTTCACTACTTAAATTCATGTCCATTCTTTTACTATTATGCTTGAACCTTTGGGATTAGTCTTTTTGTTATTGTTCCCATTTTTAAACATTCTTTTATTTTTCCAAATACATTTAGAGAAATTTTGTTGCGTTAGATGCAGATTTTGGTGGGGCTATTTTTAAATCTAAAAACACTGTGACTACTGATTTTAGAAAAATAATAGTTTCCCCATCAGGATTAAGGCATGTGTCTCCATTTAAATTTTAAATCTCCCATTGAAGTTAAGAATTATCTTTATACCAATCATGCATATTCCTTGTTTAGAGCATTCCCAAATATTTTATAAGTTCATTGCTAATGTGAATGTGATTTCATATTTTCCATTTGTATATATAGGATTGTTATAGATTTTTGAATGGTTACATTTTATCTGTTAATTTTACTCAACTCATACTAGTTTTAAACAACTTTGGCTTTGCTAAGTATATGGCCTTATCAGTTAAAAATACTAGGGTTATATCTTACTTTCCAAAAATTAAAGCTCACTCCATGTTAGTGTTTCTTATATTAGAGCATCTAAATAGGTCAAATAAAGGATGGTAATAGAGCTTATACTTATTTTGTTAGTATCTTTATAGGAATGTTTCCAAGTTTCAGTGGAACCGTTTTTAAAGTGTATTCTGTACCTAAGTACATATCTTGATGTAACTGAACCTGTTCTTGACAGGGAGGGGGTATTAGAGTAGTCACTTTATGGTTTCCTCTTCTATAAATTAGGAGATCAGCACAGTCAGTGGTTTTCACCATCCCTTAGATCACAATAGAACAGGCAAGGAGGGGCTGAATGGATGGGCCTTTGGCCAAAGCAGGTCCACTTTTACCTATTTTAAATCTTTGAAAAAAAAGTTTTTATGCTAAAAAAAAAAAAAAAAAACAACCTTAAGTGAAAATCTAATCTATGTGCTTTTTAAAGTTTCTCCCACCTGAAAATTCTGTGATCAAGTCCTATTTAGGTCACTTTCATGATAACCTCTATGGTACAGCCCTTAAAATTATTTCCAAAGTTTAAAACAAAATAGTAAGAGGGAAAGCAGGATTAAAAAAATTGCATATACAAGTATTCAAAGTATGCTTAAAAAAAAAAAGGGAAGAGACTGCCTGTCTTACAGCAAGCACTGTACCTGGGATATAAGAGCTCAGTAAATGCTTACTAAAAGACTAAAAGGAAATATACAAAAACATTAATTTCAAGCTGGGTGGGATGATATGGAAAGTATGCTATTTCATCTTCTTGGCTCTTTCCAGTTTTTTACAGTGAGAATATATTACTTTTATAATCCGGGGAAAAAACACCATCCAAACTTGTTTCTAATGACTATGAAACTAGGTTCATTATCTTCCTTCCAGATATGGCAATGATTTCTTAGCTATTCTCCTTAAATCTAATCTCTCCATTCTGCAAATCACATTGCATCTAAATAGGAAATGAATCTTTCTTAAATACCCATATGCTTCTTATATAAGTCTCTATTTTTCTTTTGCTCTAACACTTTTAGTACTGTATTATGCCTATGTATCAGGTCTCAACTTCTTCACTTGGTCTCACAAAACATATCCAACCTTGTTTCCCATAACTTTACAAGCCAGTTAGCTCAGGGTCCCATGGACACTAACAGGGCTACTCATTCTTCTGGTCTTGGTTCTTCTGTAAGAATGCAGTGGAATATTTTGCATTCTGCCTATTCAAATACAGCTCCAGCTTAGTTTCCCTCCTCAGACTTGTTAGGATACTCTAGCTTTCAGTGATTTTTTTTTTTTTTAATACGTACTTCTAAAGTGCTAAGGATTCCACATAACTTAATGTTCGATCAACTCAGGTCTCATATGTTGCGTGTGACAACCTTATGTCATCAGTTAAGCCTGTCAGCTATTTGATGTAAAGAACTCTGAATTATTTTGTTAACTCCACTTTCTGCTCAGAACTAGCTCAGTAGTAAGGCCCCTCTGGGCTTTCACCAAATACTTGCTCACTAAAAGGAAGATAATTGAAAAATCCAAATAGTACCTGTACTCATTGCAGGTAAGTAGCGATCAAGCCTTCAAGGCTTCTAATTTAGTTTTTCTGACTTTTCACAGCAAATTCCAGATTATCCTATATATTTCCATTTAAAAATAAATATTGCAAACACCATTGGGCAAGTAAGACATATGGCAACATAGAATGCTTTGGTAGCACTATGGCTGTGACTTAAATTACTGTGGATCAAACTGCCAGAAGCTGAGAAGATAACTGAATTTTCCTCTTCCTTTATCCTCTAGTGACTACATAAGATAACTATATCATGCCTATCGATGAAAATATTTAACAATAAAAAACTGAAAACACTGCTTTATAACTTAAATAATATAGCCTTCCTCCCAAATGTTTTAGTCATAGGATCTCTTGGAAGCTTGAGTGGAAGCAAACTTTAGGGTTTTAATTATGGATGAAGCCATACAATTCTGGAAGCAAAGTATAGCAAGCAGCCAAAAATGTTACACATATGATTTTACTCCAAATGGGCACATTGGCCAAATGGTGGGGCCCTGCGCAATCACATACTTTGACCACCTCCTCCATCAGTATCAAGAGAGATCTGGGAAATCTGTTATCTTAGATATGAATTCTACGTGCTGACTGTGGCCCCAGTAGGGCAAAATCAAATTGTTCTTGTTTTTATGATGTTAAATAGTTTTGAGTTGGATCTAAAAACATTATAGGTACTTCATAGGGTTTTAGGATCTCCCTATAAATAAAGATGATGGAAGATGGAAAGTTACATCTTGTATTTATTACTTGCACAAAGGTGACCTTTAAATTTCTTCTATGGTCATTGGTTCTTCTGGTTGATTAAAAACACTTAGGTTAAACAAACTTTTATTTTTTCATTTAAAAAAGAATCCATATGCAACATATCCAACTAACATGGGTTTGAAAACTAGATGGTACTTCATTAATTGTATTTATTACTCAAAACAAAGTATATATATCAAAATTATGAAATTCACTTAAAACCTTTTTTTGCAAAAGTGGGAAAAAAAATCTCTATACTTAAGTCATGGAAACTTACCATTAAAAGACCAAGGTTCCTTTTAAAAGCAGTCTCAGCTGCTTGCATCTGAGATGCCTTTTCCTTGTTTTCGTCTATAAATTTATTCTCCATTTGTTGAAGTAACATTAATCTTTGTGATACTCTAGAAAAAAATGAAGATTATATAAAGTTTTTCTTAAAAGGGTACATTTTTTGCTTGACTGACATAAAAAAATGTATTTCTTAATTGTACCTCACTTCAAGTTCAACCTATTTTGAAAACCAATTATTATGTCCATTAATAAGACAGTGGAAAACTTAGATAGTTCAGTAAGTCTTAAATCTGGGTAAAATTATTCTTATTTTCATTAACATATCTATCGTAAGTACATGCTTCTGTTTTTTTAGCCTCTATGGTCTTTGCAATTATTTTAGAGTGTTAAAAACATGTTTTAATTTTTGGTGAAAATGCAAACTGTAATACATATCCCTTTGTACACATACTTATATATACCTCCCCACACACATACATTGATATAACTTGCTATACGAAACCTTCTGCTTAACACTTCAATACCCCTGAATCTCATGTTACACATTTAGAATTGCGCTAAACTTCCATATGTTTGAAGAAGCAATAAAAATATTTTTTTCCTCTTTTTCCAAGAGAAAGATGATGGCTCCATATATGAGTGAGAGGCTGTGTGTATGTATGCATACTCACAACAAGGTGAAACAGTAATTGAAGAAAGATGTAAAAAGTTGTAAGTAAATTATCAAACTACTTTTTTAATATATAATATACTTTAAAAATTTCTCATTGGTCAAATGCTCATTTTACAAGTTTTTTTGGTCCCCTTAAATGATTGATTAAAAAAATGTCAGATGATAAAAAAATACATGTGATATATATAACAGTCTAACCACTTTCCAGATAGTTGTGGAGATTCTTAAGAAATGCTATGTTTCAGAGGGCTGTTCTTGAGGGTAGAATTAAAATTGAGTAATTTCAACATTTTTATAAGGGAAAGATCTTAGAAAGCCAAGGAAGAGGGCCTGGTAATTAATTAAAGGAAAACATGAGAGCCCACAGAAAGAGGTAGAGAAGGTTAATATCAAGTATAAGTGCAGGACTGGTTATGTAGTTCGCAAGGCCTAATGCAAAGTGAAAATGTGGGGCTCCTTTAAAAAAAAAAAAACTATTAGAAATTTCAAGACAGCAACATTAGAGCATTAAACCAAGTACAGGGACTGTGAGTACACAGGTCACATACTCATGAAGCCTGCCCTGGGTAAGAGGTGTACAGAAGTCCATTAAATATCAGTGAGAAACCTAGAAAGGTGAGAAGGGTGAATTTATCTAGATAATAGTAAGAATTGTAAGAAGAGAACATACCTTTTAATCTTTGTTATTCTTAAAAGACAGTGACATTCCCTAACACCAAAATCTCTCAAGTGTCAGAAAATTTAAATGACGCACTTTCAGACTTAAGTCTTCTGTGCACACAATATTTCACTAACAAAGCCAGTACAATTTATTCATTTAGATAAGCCTTAAAAAAAAAAACAACTTACATTTCTTCATGTCTTTTAGACAGGCGAATTTCTTGAGCAAACAAGGATGTCATCTTTAGTCAAAGCTGCCTTATAAGCTTTCTGCTAAATAATAAAAACATTTAAAGTTACTTTAATGTCCTCAGCTTTACAGCAGTTGATTGTTTTATTACCTCAACCCATTGGTTCTCTCAGAAGAGAAAAATAAAAATTGAGATATAATGTATAAAATGAAAGAATGCATTTAAAACCATTTTTATTTATGATGCAGTTTTTCGTATGCCAGATGCAGCCAAAAACACCATGAATCAGGTAAACTCAACATACTTCACATTTCGTCCTCTTAACTTCCTCACACTTTAACCTTAATCTGAATTGAAAACAAACAAGTAGCTGGTACTAAGACTAGTATACATTTTATTGAATCAACAGAAAGAAAAAAATCCACTCTGTAAAATTCAACACAGGAATACCATCCCTTATGCATGTGCACACACACATAGAAAGGCAAACAAGTGTAAGAACCAACTGGAAACTCATGGTCTTTCCTTTATTGGAAGACTGCCCAGTTCTATCATCTCTTTTCCAAATAAAGTATTTTTCATGTATAACTGGCGGGGAAAACCCAACTGGTCTCTTCACCTTACCCTGGGTGCTCAGGACTTCCATTTGGGGAGTTTAGGAAAGCCCATTTTAACGGCACATGAGCAAGCTCACCTTGACTGAAGAGCTTGGGCCAATAAATAAAGATCAAGTGAAGTGCTTTGAAGGCTCAGAGCCTGATGGCAAATCATCTGGTTGCGTGCAAAAGCTGAAGGTGACAGTCCTAAGGGAGAAAAAACAGGAATGAAATTCTTTTCCTGGAGCGAAGCACTGGCTTTCCTAAATTTTACGATTTAAACACTGTCGCTAATCTCTGAGCGTCCAGCGCTGATAGACTGAGCTCTTCCTTCACTGCACATACATGGAGGTGTAGGGCACTGAGCCAGCCAAGGGCAAGGAAACGCTGCCCTGCCCTCAACGGGTTTCCTTCTAAAGGAACCAATGTCTTGCGTTCAGCACCGCGGACAGCAATCGCTCGCCCGCTTGCCGGCAAGGATCTAGTTACAGATACTTATCCTCTAAGATCACTACGGACCAATCGTCACCGCCTTCCTCCCCCTTTCGAATGCAGCGTCAAGGAAATCTCGGAAAGTTAGTCCACGGTAACTTATTTTTCCGTAACGCCCGCCATCAGCACTCCAGACAAACCCCAAGATAAATTCTGCCTTTCGAACCAAAGATCCGCACGGCCTCAGAGTCCTCAACCCTGCAACCACTCCAACTCCCTGCTGATATCCAGAGGACTCACGACCTTTCCTCATCACCCCAGCTCTTCCCCCTTTAACAACATCCTCCTCCCCGGCCCTGCGAGCACCCACGCTGCTCTCGGACAGTCAGGGCACCCACCGGCCGCCCGTAAGGCGGTGGGACTTCACTCACCCAGTCGCACGCGCACCTTATCCGTAAAGGCGCCTGTTACGCTGGGTCCCAGCACAGGCCTGGGCGTGGTCACGCCACCATCTTTGCGCACGCGGGGACGAGGTGACGTAATCACGTCGCTATAAAAGGCGGGCCTCTGGCGCGAAAGGTGACGGTGCTGTGCTCAGCGGAGAAATTTCCCCAAGCGGTCGTTCGGAGCCCTGCGGAAATGTTTGGTGGTAGCTCAGTTTCGAGGTCTTTTAAACTGAGACTGGAATATGCTTTAGAGAGGGGAGCTAGAATGTCACAGATTTTGGAAATGGGGAAAAATCCTTCAAATTACTCCAGAGTGTTTGAATGGTCTGCACAGTCAGTAAAAGCTCCTTGCCTCAGAGAGCTTCACCCCGTTTGTCAGGTGCAGAGCAGAGGAGTGGAGCCCCTGCCCACACCCGCATAGGGACAGTAATATTGATCGTGGACGTTTTGAGGGGTTTGCGTGCGTCGCTGTGTTTAGGTAAATTATCTCAGCCTTTCCCCTACAACGCCCGGTGACGTAGGTACTATCATCCTTTTTTTTTTTTTTAAAGATCCTTTTATTTTTTTTATGTTGTGTTAATCACCCTACATTACATCATTAGTTTTTTTAAAAATTTTTTATTATGTTAATCCCCATACATTACATCATTAGTTTTAGATGTAGTGTTGCATGATTCATTGTTTGTGCGTAACACCCAGTGCTCCATGCAGAACGTGCCCTCTTTAATACCCATCGCCAGGCTAACCCCTCCCCCCACCCCGCACTCCTCTAGAACCCTCAGTTTGTTTCTCAGAGTCCATAATCTCTCATGGTTCGTCTCCCCCTCCGATTCCCCCCCTTCATTTTTCCCTTCCTACTATCTTCTTCTTTTTTTTAACATATAATGTATTATTTGTTTCAGAGGTACAAGTCTGTGATTCAACAGTCTTGCACAATGCACAGCGCTCACCATAGCACATACCCTCCCCAGTGTCCATCACCCAGCCACCCCATCCCTCCCACCCCCCACCACTCCAGCAACCCTCAGTTTGTTTCCTGAGATTAAGAATTCCTCATATCGGGCGCCTGGGTGGCTCTGCTGGTTAAACGACTGCCTTTGGCTCAGGTCATGATCCTGGAGTCCCAGGATCAAGTCCCGCATCAGGCTCCCTGCTCGGCAGGGAGTCTGCTTCTCCCTCTGACCCTCCTCCCTCTCATGCTCTCTGTCTCTCATTCTCTCTCTCTCAATAAATAAATAAAAAATCTTAAAAAAAAAAAAAGAATTCCTCATATCAGGGAGGTCATATGATGCATGTCTTTCTCTGATTGACTTATTTCGCTCAGCATAACACCCTCCAGTTCCATCCATGTCGCAAATGGCAAGATTTCACGCCTTTTAATGGCTGTATAATATTCCATTGTGTGTATGTGTGTGTGTGCATATATATATATATATATATATATATATATACACACCACATCTTCTTTTTCCATTCATCTGTCAATGGGCATCTTGGCTCTTTCCATAGTTTGGCTATTGACTATCATCCTCTTTTAACAGAGGAGCAAACCAGCATGGCAGTTTATTTAGGTCGGAGCTTGAAGTCAGCAGAGCCTTGAGGAAATTTCTCACGGGCCTCAGGTCACACACTTGGGAATAATCCATTAATGCTGTAAATTGCGTTCTTAAACCTTTTTTTTTCCCTTTGAAATAACTTGGTGAGACACGAAGTACTATCCTTAATTTCAGATGTAGAAACAGATTCAAGAGAGGTTAAGTTTTCTTCCTACGGGTTACTGAGTTGGTAAAGGGCCAAGTGCTAGGACTCCAGTCCAGGTGTCTTTTATTTCTTAAATCCCAGAGTATCTACCTGAAACTCCTCTCCTGCTTCAGGACCACGGCACTTCATGGTTCCTTTGCTTGGAAAAGCCGTTCCCCAGAAACCCATATAGACTGAGTGCCTCATCTTTCAGTGCTACCTCTTCGAAGAAGCGTTCCCTGGACCTTCAGTATAAGATAGCAACCTCCATTTCTTTTCTCTCTGCCCTCCTTCTCCTGCTTGGTTTTTCTCCAGAACACACTATTGAACACGTTTTACAATCACTTGTTCATGTGTTTATCAGTGCACTCCTACTAGAATTCGAACATCCTAAGAAGTATTTTTGATTATTTGCTGCTGTATCCTCAGCAACTAAAATGGCCTTGAAAAATCCTGGATGGAAATTCCATCATAATTTAAGAGAGGTCTGTCTTCAGTTGATAGGACCTTTGATTTAGCTGTTCCACAGCCTTAGTAAAGAAGAAAAACAAACGTTTGAATGGGTTGCATGAAATAGAGAACAAAGAAGCTGCACATTAAAGCAAGTGTATGTTGTTTAAAACAAACTTTGTTCCTCTCTCTGCTTTATGTAAGTTTGCATAGTGACACAATTGGGACAAACCCAGCCCTTTTAAGTTTGAATCTAGCTTCTTTAGATCATTTTCTGCCCTAGGAGTGAATCAAGGAATACCTTGGAATTTTCTTGCAACTTTTAGGAGAATGGTAATCAGGAATACCTCACAGACACTTAGAGGTTGTCTAGATAGACTGTGATAATACATCTTATAGCATCCCAAAAAAGTACTTTCCACTTAAAGATCTGTCATAGCTCCCATCTTCATGACAGCCCCCAGTTGATCTTTTTTGTGAGACAACTGACTGGAGAAGAAGTGTCTCTGGCAATTGCAGTCTATCAATATAGAGCTTCTCTATTTATTAGGTAAGTTTGTGTACTTCCTGTAATGAGATATTCGTGGTCTACCATGCAGATTATTAGAACCTACTAAGTAAGGCCTGGCTCATAATGGGACATTCTGTAAATGTGCAGTGAAGTCAATATTTCCTAACCCTGGTATAGTTCTCTCCACCAGCATGCTAAAATTGTCCCCTTAGCCTCATTATTTAGAAACCTTGTGCTCTTTAGTCATAAATTCTTTAAAGATGTGTTTATTAATATTTCTAAGATCTAGTCCCTGCCCTCAGGAGCCTAGAAGGCTCTTAAGGTATACACAAAAAGCTAGAGGATTTTGGCTGACAATATAAAAATTACTAATATTCATCGAGGGCTCATTCTGTGCTAGGCACTGTGTATGATTTACCTCATCTAATCTCATAACAACCCTGGGAGCAGGACAGCGTTGCTTGCTAGCTTACTATCCCCATTTTTATAGCTGAGAAAACTGAGGCTTAGAGACATGACTTATGATCACACTGTAAGTAAATGAGCCTTGGCTTGTTTGATGTTAGTATTGTATGTAATTATATAGAGAATATTGAACGTGTAACTAAAAAGTGTCCTGCAGATTATGAGGGTGCTAGAGAAGAAAGGAGAGAGCACCAAGAGCTGGAATAGTGTAGATGACATTTTGGAAGGCTGAGGTGAATTTTGAAAACTGGGTGAAATTTGGAGGTCAGCTTTTGTAATTGGGTGTATCAGGTGGCAAGACGGGCCATGAAGTCTTCTAAGTGCAGGAGGCATGTGTATGTACAGAAGTGTGTGCATGAAGATATGTCTAGGGTGAGGGCCAGGGGAGGGGGAGCATTGAGAAGAATGTTTTCTCCTCATTTCCCGCAATTTTGAAGATTTCATTCCTGGTGTCAGAGACTTAGAAAACAGAAGTTTGGCAGTAATAAAGAGAAGGAAGTACTGGAGAAGATAAACTGGTAAGTAAAGAATAGAAAGACTTGAGGATGAAAAAGGAAAGACAAGCTTTCAAGAGTAAGAAACAAAAGAATCTCAGGATCCTTGACCGTATCAAAGACTTCAAATTACTAACAGTAAATTCTGTTACGGTTTATACAGAGGCCTTCTTTTTAGACTTCCTTTGGTTGTACTCTGTGTAGACAAATAATAAGAAAATGAAGAACTCATGCCTGAAATGGAGTTAGTGTTTTTTTTTGTCCTTGTTTCAGGAAATCCCAGATGAAATTGGGCAAAGTGGGTCCAATTGCTTGTGTTTCTGCTTTTCTTCACTTTGAAATACAGTCTTTAGACTTTTATCTTTTTCTATAGTTATAGATTGTCCATTTCACTATGGAAAAATATTCTTTACTTATAGTATCTCTGAAATGGTTTAAATTGGCCCTGGATGGGTTTTGACCAAAGAGAATTTACAGCCAGATACTTCTTTAGGATCTTTTGTCAATGAATCAGCTATCAATCTAGGTCCATTCAGATAAAACTCTGCAGCAGAGAAATCATTATCGCAGCTGGTGCCTGCATTGTAGACATTCTTAGCTGAGAGAACAAGACTGTGCTGATAAAACTACACTCATTCCTAGAGATTTCCAGTAAGAATTTGCATAAGCTTTTTCCTTCTTGGGAGAGAAAATTTTTAAAAACCTCACTAGTTCTAAAATTCACTTGAGAACGCATTAGAATTTTAAAAATTGAAAGCACACATGATAACTTAGCAAATCATTTGTCTGTTGTATACATAGTAAATATGTATAGTTCCTCATTCCCAAATTTTAGTAATTTAAAGCTCACAGAAATCCTTTTGTCTTAAACTGACACCCTTCCAGCTGTGTATAATTTAAGCTTTTTTTTTTTTTTTTTTTATCCTGGTTCCTTGATTTCCCAGCAGCTTTCAATTTACTCACTAGTCTCTCTCAAACTCTTTAGGTCAGGCTTTTCTTGAAGTAGGAATTTTCTCTTTCATAGCCCTCCTGCCTGTTTATTTTCTCCATGTTATCCCCCCTTTTTGCTCTTAGGACCCTATAACATTCTCAGTCCACTATTGAGTAAGCAATTAAGAACCTTCTTAATGCATACTTGACTACTTGGAGCATTGTATTCTGCAGTTCCCCTCTTTTTGTGATACTCTGCGACTGTGTTTACGAAAAAAATT